GATGAACCCCACATGAAGCAGAAGCCAATGAGACGGAGACCAGTACAGAAGAAGATACGTCCTGTAAAATTAAGAGACTTTGTTGAATTGTAATTTTGTGTTTGTAATTCTGTACATTTAATTAAATTATTGTGAATTGTTATTGGTTTAATGTAAGTGGCTATTGTTCGGGAGGAGCAATACTAAGGAGGGGGCAGTGTTTCATCAGCAGAGGTCACTTGACTAGTATCACGCCACGTCGTTCTCGAACATTCACGTCCTTTCCTTAAATCTCGGGATCCTTCTAGATATAGTGTAGTCTTGTATATATAAGACGGTCACAAATTGACAGCAACAATGTGTGTAATTGAACGGAGTATCGTTGAGTCGAGCACGTGAGACGTTCATTGAGAATTATAGTGTTTGTTATAGCGCGACTGTTGAAATTAAGTGTATCGCAAAGTTATATTCAGAAAAAATAAACCAGTTTTATTCAAGAAAGGACTTGTGTCGCAAAAGTTTCGTCGGAACGAATTTACGGAAAATTAACTAACGAACGGAGACGTAACAATACAATTAAATGGCTATATCCCTTATCATCCTATATTTGAAGCTACATACATATCTTAATGTAAGGCTTGTAAAAGAAGATATAAAATAATTTTTTGTATATACCAAACTCAACTGCAGAAACATTACTCATTTTGAAGGTAGTATGCATGTGATGTGAAAATGCTACTCAACTTCCTGTTTAATATAAGTTGTAACTCTTATAATGTAAACTGAGGGCAACTTCATAACAGACTTACCATTTTCTCTGCTAAGAATGATAGGCTGAGAAGTTTCCACTAGAGGGCTGTCTGTTGCTTGACATTCAGGTACTTTGTAAGTGACAGACCAGGTCATTGCATCAGATATTTCAGGTTGGGCAAAGCCATTGGTTGTTTTGTGACACTGTACACTTTTCCTGCAAAACAAGGCTGTTTTTCATATCTAGTGTGTTACATTGAAAAAACTCCATTTCAAAAATAAAAATTACATGTACAGTGCTGTCTAAATTTATGACATATTTTTTTATCAGCAAAACTTATAAGAATGACTTACAATCTAAAACATAAAAAGCTAGTAAAACCATAAAAAGCAATAAGGTTACATGTTATATACATCATGGCAGACCACATCACAGTGTATTATTTATATTCATAACTCCTGTGCTTCAACTATTATGTGCCTAAAATCTTGTATTCTAAAAGTTCTAGAATTATGTCTATGTTGTTTAGGATTCAAATTAATTCACTAAGAAATAAGCTGAGTATGCTAAATTTCTTAAACTATCTTTATTAAAGTATTAAAAATGTAATAATGAAAAGGCTCACTTGCGTCTGCTGAAGAATAGGCCAAGGAATAGGAACATTACTGCTAAAAATACAAATATCCCTAACATTATGAACATAAGATATAGCCAAGGCATTCCTAGTATATGTCTTTCATCCTTCTGTATTTCAGGACCTCCAACTAGCAACATAAACAGAAAACAAAATATAAATGAAAACATATAACATTCTATATAAATGCTTTGATGCAATATAAAATCTAAAAATTCTAAACTTCATTTTTTACAGATGTTGGTATCTAATGCTCTAGTATTTCATTTGTTAAAAAACTAAGCAAGTAGACCCACCCTTAACAGAGGACTGTGGAAATGATATAGCTGATCTTGACTTCTCTTCCTGTAAACAAAAACTCAAGTATATATTTACTTTTACTAATACATAAAACAGATAGGATTATAAACAATCAGAGGAAGTACCCTGTTATATAAAACTTAAAACTAGTTTATTGTTGTATATACATATTATATTTATGGTTACAACATTTTATCGGGTTAACCTAGTGAAACATTCTAACCATAAATATTATACTCTGTACATCCAACAATAAGCTAGATTTAAGAAAGGATTATGCCTCATTGAATACAAAGTTAGACAAAAGAATGTGGATAGAATATTTTTTTCTATACATTGTTACTTCTGTGTTTCTAAGTGACTTCATGGTTTTCATGCAATAAAGAAATTTTCTATAATCCAGAGAAAAAATCTCAACACAAAAATCAAGATATTATCCATGAACATTTAAAAAAATTTCAAAAACCTTTTCTTTTAATTCTTTATGATATTGTGGAATGTTATGTAACACAGTTTTATACTAAATGCATTTTCACCATTTCAACAAATGCATCACTTACATTTTTTTATTTATGAGAAATATTGTGAAAACATACAACAATGGACTTTTACACAAATAATGAAGATAATGTTTTCACAGGCATTTGATTAGGATTGTTCAAAATATTATACGATAATAGAAGGATAGCAAAATGAAAATGTATTCAGGAACAATTACCATGTCAAGCTGGGCAATTGTACGTATTCTGATGTTGTACCTTTCACCAGTCCTCAAGGCCACGTTCATAAATCTACCATAGTTTTTTTCATCTCCAACAATAAAATAAAACCTACGATGTTTTGAAACTTCACTTGCATCCAACTCTGCTGTTATGTAATAAGTAATATTGTTTTCCACACTGCCTTTATAATCCTGAAGTTTTGTCTCATCAATACCAGCTTTATTGTCAGCTTTCTCAACAATTATCTGATATTTTCTGTCAGAAAAATCCAGAGTAACATCAATAAAATACAGCTTAACTCTGAAAGCAATGTGATATATCCTTATTAAAAACTATAAATAGAAACTATACACTGGAATTACTGTCCCATGGAAATAGTTTATTAACAACAGAGTCAAGCTATTCAACCAGCATTTTATCTTAGGAATTTCTTTCTTTTATACCATGTCAGTTACACTAAAGTACATTAAAGTATGTGAAACAGATAAAACAGACACCTCAACTATTAACAACTATGCAATACTAACAACTGGGTAACACATAAATTAGGTATATGCTGGCAACAACTGTACATGTTAGTGTTGACAGATTACTTAATAGGTAATGGCTATATTATATATTTGAATGTATTTCTAGATTTCAGATACAAACACTAATGCTTCAGATGATGAGGTACAGAAGCACATTAAAAACGATCAAGAGAGAGAGAGCTATACAATAACATATTAAAATGTTATCACATTCTGAAAATTGTACATCTAAGGAATTTTAAACTTTACAGTTATATAAACCACTATATATACACAGGTTCATAGCCAGTGTGAAAAATCTAACACCAAGGATTTATCAATTCTAATTGGTGAGGGTCCTAAATGAATTAGAAACAGTATTTAAACAAACACTGTAAAATTATCAGAGAAAGAACTGTTATCAATTTGTTTATTATCATCAGTAATTACCATAAATACAGAGACGAATTTAAATACTGTATTACTAAAAACAATCAAAAGTTTTGATTTCAGTAATCTTTATATCAGTCTACCTGTTGATAAAATTAAGAATAATTATTCAGCAGGAATATAAAGATCGTTTAAAGAATTTTAAAAACTAATGCTCTGTGTAAGTGAACATAAAGTAATCTATTGCAATCATAAGGAGTAGCACTGTTTCACACTAGAGAAATTATTACAAGCAGTGAGCACTGTTTCACAATAAACAAATTCTCACAAGTTATGGGTACTGTTTCATACTAGACAAAATATCGCAAGCTGCATGCACTGTTTTACACTAGACTAACTCTTTGAAGCTGCAAGTATTGTTTCATACTAAACAAGTTCTTTGAAGCTGCGAGTATTGTTTCATACTAAACAAGTTCTTTGAAGCTGCAAGTATTGTTTCATACTAAACAAGTTCTTTGAAGCTGCGAGTATTGTTTCACACTGGAAAAATTTTTACAAGCTGTGAGCACTGATTGACATTAAACAAATTCTTAAAGTATGTGAATGTTAAATTAGCAAACGTTTGTACAATTTGGCCAACATGTCTATCAGCAAATACAAGGTATCTCAGGGTAAAAACTTTGGCCCACAGGCTGCTGATTTTGATTTATTTTATATGAATTTTCATTTAAAAAGTTAGTAAGAAAGACTACAATGTTTTCTACCTTTGTCATATTCATAAAAATGTTAATGATACTGTTTTAAGAAACTTTCTTATTTACTCATCAGACTCATATTGACAGAAAATCATTCCAAATTTTGAACTTAGAAATAATTATCATTAACGTAACTTTCATGTTCTATATCTTACGAAAACAGAGTTGAAATCAAAGTTACAAATTTTCCTCTTCATAATACAAACTAGTAGAAATGCCATCCTACTTGTTGAATTCACGAGGGACAAAACTGCTTAACATGTAAAACATTTGACAACACCTACTTAACACAACCATGACAATGTATTCATAAAAATTGGTTTGTCTTAACAATAAAAAAACAATTATGTGAAAATAATTAGATTATGATTACATAAGTCCAATTATATCATTAAGTTTTTATTGCTGTTATAACCAATAAGTTAATCAAAATTTTGTATATTTTAATTACTGAAAAAAAAAGTGTCTCCTTCCAAACTTTTGAATAATAGTGTACATAAAGCAGCTAGATGTACTGATAACAGCTATACTAAATATATAAATGTTTAACGTGTAAAGCAGCAGATAATACAGCTATACTATCAGGTCGTCAAGAAATTAATGTCGCGTTTTGGAACATTTTCATTACCCCCCACCACACACACACAAAAAAAAAACAACGTACACCACGTATAATAATTAAACGAACCACCTAAACGTCGCGTTAGTGTAAAAAGAGGTATATTATAGGTAAAACCACTAAGGAGTTAATATATATATTTTAATATATATAATTGTGGATACAAAGTTTCGAGCAATGCCCTTCAGGTATCACTAATTGAACAGTAAATATGAAAACGAAAACATTCTAAATCGAAGGTCGCGTGACATGACAATGTAACAAACATAAGTGTATAACAATGCTGACAAACAATTGAAACAATAGAAAGTGATATATAAATATATATATACATACAAGCGCACACACACACATATCTATACATATATATACACACAGATACACCCAAATAAATACACACAAATGATGATACAAAGACATATATACAAATACATTCGCGCACACGCACATACATATATCAATATATATGCATTATAGTTTAAGAAGAATAGATACATAATTTAATGTATAAAACTTTTTAAGGAAGGAGAAAACTAAAGCGTGAAATATTACAAAAAGCTAAAATGTTCATTTAACCGATCGGGGTGGAAAGATCTCAGGTGAAAAATTAATTTGTTTTCATGATACCAATATTGGAAACTACGTAGTTCATAGTACCCTTAAAACACCCACCTCAACAGACACACATTTTATTGTAGGTAGCTATCCTTGTAATAGAAAACGCTGTAATGCATGTGCTTACATTGACTTAAGAACATACGTGCAGAGTCCTAAGTCGAGTTTCTACATTAAAGATCAATGTAACTGCACATCAAAATGCGTCATATATTCCACTGTATACATGTGTTGTGTAAAATTATACATAGGAGAAACCAGTAGATTATTAGCAGAACATACCCGAGAACATCACAGAAACATAATAAATTGTAAGGCAGATAAACCAGGGCCAAACACTTCAATTTGCACAACCATATCCTTGGCCATTTTAAAATTATTGTTTTGAAAAAGGCCCCTATAAATAAACATAACAGCATATTACAAGAAAAAAATAATAATTTTTGACCTGGGAGTATTCCACACCGAGGGACTAAATGAACGTTTTAGCTTCTTGTAATACTTCCCGTTTAAATTTTATCCTTTTTTAAAAAGTTTTATATAGTAAATTATTTATCTATTCTTCTTAAACTATAATATATGTGCATGCGTGTGCTCGCGTGTGTTTGTATAATCATTTATGTGTATTTATTTGGGGTGTATCTGTGTATATATATGTACAGATATGTGTGTGTGCACGCTTGTATGTATATATACATATATATATTTATTTATCACTTTCTACTGTTTCAATTGTTTGTTAACATTGTTATACATGTATGTTTGTTACATTGTCATGTCACATGACCTTCGATTTAAAATGTTTTCGTTTACGTATTTACTGTTCAGTTAGTGACACCTGAAGGGCATTGTCCGAAACTTTGTATCCGCAATTATATATATATTAACTCCTTAGTAGTTTGACCTATAACATACTTCTTTCTATCTTTTCCTACACAGTTTTATACGTCCTGTCACGTTAGTGTAGCCTATATAATGTGTAAAGTTTAGTGTACTCTAATCCCTTATAGTGATGGCACAGGATGAAACACATATTTGGCATGTAATGCTGTTTGAATACAAGAAGGAAAACAACGCCTCTGTAGCCACAAAGAATATCAAAGAACTTTATGGAAATGTTTTGAACATTGGTAATTGTCAACGATGGTTCAGCAAATTTAGTCCAGGTGACTTTAGCCTTAAAAAATGTGATGGCAAGGGCAGACATGTTGGAATTGATATTGATGCTCTGAAGACACTTGTTGAGTCTAGCCCAAGGCAATACACTCGTGAAATGGCCCTCAAGTTGCACGTCTCTCATGAAACAATACGTAAACATCTAAGGAATATGAGAAAACTCCATAAAAAAGGTGTTTGGGTGCCTCACGAACTCTTGGATTATCATCGTTTCCAATGTGTGAACTTTGTTTCATCTCTTCTGGCGCGTAATGCACGTGAACCATTTTTGTCACCGGTGATGAAAAATGGATTCTCTATGCGAATATTAAACGCTAAAAACAATGGCTCAGTCCTAGACAAAAAAAACACTTCCGACTCCATCCACAGAAAGTGATGCTTTGTATTTGGTGGGACATCAAATGAATAATTCATTTCGAACTCCTCAATCCTCAGCGAACTGTCATTGTAAAGATCTATAGTCAGCAACTGCAAATCTGCAAATCAAACGTTTAAATCAAGCCCTTCATCAGAAACGCCATTCATTCATCAATCGGAAATGTGTTCTTCTCCATGACAATGCACGTCCCCATGTGACACGTTTGATGTAACATAAGATTATGGAGTTGGTTTGGGAAGTTCTCCCCCCACCCACCATATTCTCCAGATATGGCACCATCAGATTACCAG